ACAGGCGTTTCGGGTTTCATGCGGATGTTTTGTAAGGTACGAATGGCCTCAAAATAAGCCTTCCTACTTTGATATCCAAACTTGCCCTTCAGACTTTCTAGTATGTCATAAGAGGTCTCCTGACTTTCAAGCTTTTATTGTAACACGTTTGACATTGATGCCAAAATATAACAATGAGTCATCTTGTCAGCTGCGATCCACTTATCACTCATCACTCTTGACTTTACTTCTTGTCTCAATAGGTTCTTCGGAACATTCCTCCTTGAGCACAAATTCAAGTTTTACAGCAATAAGCACATACATCAAATTACGTTTCCAATCCATATAAGTATCCCCGACAAGTTGGTTTTGTTTTAGAATAATGGAAAATGTGATGAGAGACATTTTGATGAAAAATAACCATTTATTGGATATTAAAATTTAGCAGGGAATAATAATTTAACATATGATGCATGAATGCATATGTAGATCGATCTAACTACAATAATGCAACGATAACTCGATCTTTCGGATCCAACATGCCTTTCTATAGGTAATGTTATTGTGTCCACTGAGCAATATGCATATGTAGATCCATCTAACTATAATAATGCAGCGATAACTCTATCATTGTGATCCAACATGCATATCTATAGGAAAGGTCACCCTGTCCACTGATCAAGCTGAGACGCTCCCACTAGACAAATTATATCTAACAACAAATGTCTATATTAAGCCTAGTATCATTTTATTTGGTCACCAAAATTATAAACAACTGCTTCTATAGAAGGTTCCTAGATAATTTCAATTTGAGTTTACAACATTTGTCTCAATATCTAAATACTTGAAAATAATTTCGTCATCTATGGGATGATCACAAATTATATTTTATCTAGACGATAAAGAAATCCAATCAAGCAACACGAACAACGTGGCCCTCCTAAGGGAATCCGTTACAATATCGACACAAGACAAACATGTTACTTTACTTATGGATTGACCAAAGGAGACCATGGATTTTTATTTAAATAAACACTCACTCCCTCTCAATATTTTTTAAGTTATGGATTTTAATTATCAACCGTTTACATTAATCATATTAACATAAAGTTTAATTATTACGATTTTCCATAAAAAAATTAATTCTAAATTAAATTAATCAAGGAAAAATCGGTGTTCAATGATATGCATCCTATTCATAGTATCACGAGCGATGTCACGAATAAATCTATATGTCATGATATCTAGAACCATAATATTTCAATCAATAATTCAAAGCATTCATGAACAATAAATTAACAATTATTTAAATTTAAAACTAATTGGACCCAAGCCCAATATTCAGTCTAAATCTTGAGCTCAAAAAAACTCCAAGGAACCAACAATAGCAATCCAAATAGTAATAGGGGTACTTACAAAAATATCCTTAAAATTAGGGGTGTTTTGAAAAATCATGTGAAAGGTTTTTAGGAAGTAAAAAATACTGTGTAAAATGAAAAAAGTGACACAATGTCACTTTTTTATAAAAATTTTCACTTTTTTACTTTTTCAAAAAAGTGACATAAACTCAAAAAAAAGTTACATAATTCAAAAATTGGGGAAGGAGGGGCTAAAGGACCACAAAATTGGGGAAGGCGTGTGACTTTTTTTTTTTTTTGAAAAAAGTGACAGAATGTCATTGTTTTATAGAAAAGTGACGAACTTTTCACAGAAAAAGTGGCAGAATTCATATTATCCTTTTGTCAAACACCTTACATGCATAAAAAATTAAACGGATTCAAAGCTATTTTTTCTAACGTGTTTCCAAACAAAATAACAAAATCATCAAAAAGAAACTTTATATATGTTAATTATTTACACTATAAGGTTTAAATTAAATCTAATCATGGAATTCAAATAGAAGTGAGATAGATGGCTGAAAATTGGCACTGTTACTCGGTGTTGATTTTTGACGAAATTGATTTCTTCTTCTTCTTCAACAGAGAGGAGTGTTTTGTTATTTCAGCAAAATGACTTCTATTCATCAAGTTTGGGTGTTTTTTAGCGTATTAATTACTGTTAATTTAAAGGTTTAGTGATAAAACATTAATTTAGAGTATTGTTTAATTTTTCTTTTCAAAGGCCGTACTGGGCCTAATTTTCCCATAGCAATAGGACTTCGACATCGTACCTGTAAAAATTAAACATCAAACATAAACCATTCAGATCCGAGTTTGCCCATGAAAAGACCCAGACAATTGGTTTTCTGCCACGTGTTAGACAACAATCTGCCATGAGGCAAACATTCTTACTTGTGGCAGACGCTGTCTCTAGATAGCCCTTCTGCCCGTAGCAGACGTTGTTTGCTTGTTTTTCTTTTTGCTTTTTTTGCTGTATTTGCTTGATCTTCTCCATTATGTCTTCTATTTTCAATCTTCAATTAATTTTCAAAATTAAACAATTACAAGAATTACATAATTTCTATGTCTCATAGGCTCACAATTTTGAATTTAATTGAAAAGGAAATTAAATCAAGAAGATGGAGTCATAATCTACCTATCTTGTTACAGACTTGAAATAACGAATTACATTAAAATAAAAAACAAGCCACAAATAATTGGATCACAGTTTACAATCATTCAATCATTATATAATAAAATATTTGTAGAAATCACTTAACTAGAACACGCAATCAAGATTTAGAAATAACAAACATGTAAACAATCTAGATTACTTCGATACCAGTTGTTGGAATGCGGAAGGGAGATTATCCAGAAATTAAAAAAAATTCTTTAATTCAATAAATAAGATCGTCTATGTTCATGTGTATGTTATCAAGAATAAATGATTCAATTTTTTTACGTAAATTCGATGATTAATTTTTGAATTAATTATGAATCACAAACTTCTACCTTTTTGGATCACGAGATTTCAGCTTTTAATTGCAAAAACTTGATACTTCAAACCTTCAAGTCTTCTATGGTATTCTCTAAAGTCAAGACTACACCGATGAGTGGACAACTTCTTTTAATTAAATCAAGAAACCAATTCTTGAATTGGACAATAAGAGAATATGATTTTTTTCCACTTTTTTCTCTCCCCAAATTTGAACACTATGGAATTATTTATTATGATTGTTGTAGGATTTTTATATCCATCTAGTGAGATAAAGATGTTCCAATCCATACAGAATAAGTACGAGTTTAATTAAAGTCCAAATCTAATTAATTTACATTTAATTACATGTGGAGTCCTAGAACTTCAATTACAATTATAATTAAGTTTACAACTTTTATAGTAATTACAACATAGTACAAAACTTTATTGTACTTACAATTAAGTCCAAAACTATTATAATAATAGCAATTATGTTTTAATACTTTATAGAGCTACCATAGCGATTTGATCGGGCATATATTATCCAAACTCCAATAACTAGATCATGTCTAGTCGACTTGTAATTAAGTTCAATTACTTTATAGAGCCACCATGGTGGACCTAATCGGACATATATGATATCTAATTGACCCTAGACCACCCAATATAATTATAAGTCTTTACTTTTTCCACTAAAGGTAAAAGACTAAGCTCTCGGAATATATAATAAGATCACAGAAATCAATACATATGTAATACTTTCATCTGACCCGCCGTATATGTATTTTATCCCCTTCCGAAATTCGATAATTAGGTACGAGCATAAATGACTGTTTTGCCCTTTTAATTATTCTCACTAACTTAAGTACATTTTCCTCTACAGTCATGTGAACAAATCACAGATATCAAAATTTAGCCGTTGCTAAACACTGAGCTCAGATTTTAACCGTTCGACAAAAAATACTTAAGTAATCACTTTACCCTTTTTAGGGCTATGGTACCCCAACACGAATTCATGTTCTCTACCTCACTCATTCTCAAGTTTTCCAACTCATCGATATATTTGACCAATCAAATTTATCTTACCCATTGACGAATCAAAGAACTATTAAAATCACGAAAATATACATAATTCTATCAAGGGATTTAGATGAAATACACAGGGGTCAAGTGAAATTTAATTCTCCACACGGTCAGGCTATAGAATTAAACTCGACACGTGATCCATTCAATACACTCCAAATATACTAGTGTCACCTTCAACAATTTATGTGTTAAGGGCAAATAACAAACCCGAATATTGAATCGAATAGCACTACAATATTCCAGTACAAGGTGCTAACTCTTATACATTGGTAGTGAACAAATTATTTATGATCAAAATATAAATTGTGTCACTGTATACTTTTCAACGTTAGTACCCAACTTATATCATCACAGGTGATCATAAGCACTTTAATTCGCATGCTTAATAATAAATAAATGCAATAAATAAAATAAAAACAATTTTATTTAATATAAGAATATTTTTATTTTTACATCAGCAAAACTATACTATGAGCATACAACCCAACAATAAGTTCATTAACATTTTTGTAGATAGAATTTAAATAAATAAATAAATGTGTCATTCTCTAACAACTTTTGATTTAGTGGTTCAGCACATTATCAAGCAAAAGATCAAGGTTCCACGCTCACTGCTATACTTTCACAAAAATTGTGCACGCACCCTGCACATGAGGGACGTGATGAAGATTAAAATTATTTGAAGACTAAATTTATATAAACTCTTACATCCCCAAAAAAAAAAAAGACAAATTCCCATGTTACTTATCATCATTCATGAAACTACCAAATTGGCTTGATTACATGATTTACAGCTAGAAGTTGTAGCACTTGCTTGAAATGACTGCTGTTGTTGGTTGACAGGAAATGAAAATTGCTGTAACTAATGCTGATTATGCTGAAGATTTTGAGGATCAAGTTGCAGGGTGTGTAGCTGGTCAACCGACATTTGGTTGCCAGAAGGGTCTAGAAAATATATGTAGCTAGGTGGATTACTTCCTTTCTCATTCGCTACACCGGAAAGTGGATCAGATTCAACCCTGTTATCAATAAACCGCCGCTTCCCATGAACAGAGAGTTCAGAATTCGGACCCCATTATTCAATGACTGCAGGAGCAAAGGTGAAATACTGGGAATTCCACAATATGTTGATTTTGTTTTAACTGGTTACGAGGTGACATGAAAGGCGGGAATGCATTCTGCGAAGGCATCCCACTCCCTTGACCACTCAACAAACTGGAATTTGATCTCAATAGTGATGGGGGAACAGGCTGTGCTCTCTTTTTGCCAAATACTCCAATCTAAACACACTGTCAAATGCAACTTACAGTCCTTGAACTAACATTAATCTCAACAATTGCAAAGAAGTGTGTGCAACATTAAATTATTGTACAATTCAACCAACAATTTACTCATATCCAACCGAAGGCAAAGTTTTTTGAAACAAACATTGGCATACGCCTCTTGCACAGAAACAGCATCTTTGTCTCTGAACGACCTAAAATCAATCCCTTCATAAAACAGATAGCTTTTAGGTCAAATACATCCTTTCCCTTATCTACAAAAGAAGTGAAACTGAAAAAATCTATGTAAAAAAAAAAGAATGACCATTTAAACTCATAATCTTGAAACGATAAAACATGAAGTGAACTTATAATAATCCAAAACATTCCAAAACTTGAGCCCAAGAGAAGTACAAGAATGACCATTTAAACACATAATCAACTATCAAGCCCTGAATCATGTAACAAAAGCACCCAGTTTAAAGCACAAAGTGAAGCGATATTCTCGGGGGTTTTACCCTATAAATTTTAATCTATACAAACAAATAGTGAAATGAAGTGGAAAAACTCACCAGAAACAGGATTTGAACAGCACTGTCTGTTAAAACCTACAAAATTGAAGTTCATGCACACTTAGCATCAACAAATTAATTGATTCATTCATTCCCTGAAAAAACATAAACGAAACATTCAAGTGTAGATTTATAAATATATGTTTGTGTGTTTCTGTACGTATGTATATAGCTTTCAAAAGTCTTCTCAAAATTTTCTCAAAAAACCGTTCACTCATAACCCCATGACCTAATTATTACTAGTTATCTGTTAAAAAATATAGACAGGAAAGTCTTTAGGATTCAACTATGGGGACACATATCCAACTCATCATCCTCAGCAACAGTATCGAGCTTCATCAAGTGGGATTTCATATCAAAACTCAGGCTATTGAGATCTTCATTTTAATGGCTCTGAAGTATCGTCACCCACTTTCCCAATACTCATAATTTATACTTCATCCACCCACTTGAAGGTTGAGGATTTCTTAACTTATTAAATTCATTTACTTTGTTCGAGACAAAATTCATATAAATAAATAATTTTAGATGAAGTTGTTCAATATTGTATCATAGAAAAGACCTAGGTGCTAGACGCCTAGACTCACCGGTATCTTTTTACGAAAATCACGTGTCTTGCACGGTGAAGAATAAATTTGCATAAAATTAGTGTATCCCTTTCCTGACAGTTTAAGTTTTATTTGACACTTTTCAAAGTACTATGAGGTCCAAAAGTTTCTGCACGTTATTAGTTTTATCTCTTTTCTTCTCTATGTTATTAATCATAAATAAGAATTTTTCTCATTCTTCCATCATGAACTAACTCTTCCATCTAGGGATTGATGTAATCTAAACTAAGATTATGTTTTGAGTTTCAATAATTATTTCTTTGAGGTTTTTGTTTAAATTATTTGTGTTATTTATTCTTATTGCTTTCAATTAAAAGACCATTAATTAATTTATTTGATGTTTAAGATTTGGCATTTGAGAGAGGGGATTTTGAATTGATCATATAATAACACAATATAGGTTTTATAAGTTTCAAGAGAAAGTATAAATCTTTTAAAGCATTTACACAAAGAACCATAGAACATAAGAATTCTTAAATTTTTTAATATAGTATTGGAATTGAAATTTAGAAATAATTTTCACTCGGCACTAGAAATAGTGAGTACAAATATTTTAGGATTCTTACTTATAAACTCAAAAAACCAATTGGAGATAATTAAATAATTGAGAAACATAATTAATAGTTAGATGAAGTCAAAACCCTAGGCTCATCTCATATGACTTAATCCTTAAATCTTTGCATTCAATCCTTGATTTAATCAAACTCTCACATTAGATCTAGTTAAAAATATTGATTTTATTAATTCTATTATCTAGATAAAATAAGTGTTCAATATATGTGGGTTCAACATTCTAACTTTACTGTTATATTATTAAACTTGATATCATGCGCTTGAGGTATAGTTTGCACCTAACAATCACTAAAATAAGGGTTGAAAAAACATAAATATAGTTGATCTTGGTAAATGATTATTAGCCTTCTACTTCGATGCCTGTTTGGCTATATTCATATCTAGTGTGGTTTAAATATGTCAGTTGCTACTGAGCTTTCTTAAATAATTCTCAGTTGTCATTGAACTTTAAAAGGTTACCAAGAAACCATTAGACTTTCCCAATTATTTTCCAATTAGCATTGACCTTTACAAATTATCCAAGTTACAACCGAACTTTCAAAATATTATCTCATTCATCACAGTGTCATTCACTATTTTAAAAGTTAACAAACATGATGACATGATAGTTGAAATTGAATGGGATAATATTTTGTAAAGTTCAATGACAATTCAAACAAATTTTAATGCACAATTATTATTGAAATAGTGACGGAGCCAGTACTCGGCGAGTTAGAGTGGCCGCCCATGTGTGGATGTCAAAGGCAAAAATGAGGGTCCAACACCACCAGCACATCCAAGGCCACCGGCTCCACCGATTCCTCCAATACCACCAAGAACTGGTAGCACTGGCAACACCCCAACAATGCATCCAATACCGGCGCAGCCGCCCACGCCACCTTAAGTGATGAAGTTTTTCTGATCATGAACACCGACAGAAACATTTTGTCGGTTTTCAACATGGCTTAGAGTGTTANATAGACCAAAAGGAGGCCCAAGTCAGGGGAGAGGGACAAGAGAATTAGAGGTTGATGGAAATAATGAATTTATTGATGTTGATAATTTTGAAATTATAATATGAAAATTGAAAATTACAAGATTGAAACTCGAAATTGAAAATTCTTAAAGAAAGCTTTAAGATTACAAGGATAATTTAAAACTTTCTTGAAGTGTAGTATTTCCCGCTCTATTACACCTGAGGAAGTCTTCTGCCTTATTTTATAACTGAAAATTTTGGACTTCAAATTTTCTTGAATTTGATTGAAGAATCTTGGAGATAACTTTTGTCTGCCACTTGAACAATTTTTGAAAAGCAATTACAGCATCTTTTGACAATTGCAACCACTTTTTGAATTGCAGCTACTTTTGACAATTGAACCACCACTTTTCCATTTCTCCCAACTTTTTGATTTTTACTTTAGTATACAAAAGTTTTTCGTCCATCTTTGATTGTCGGCAAGGGCAACACGAATAATTTGTTTGGAGGCATACACATCTTGAATAATGAGTCTTTTTTAATTTTTAACCCGTCGTTCTCTTAATTTATCAAGATAACTGGGTCTATATAGTCATTTTGAAGGGGTATTCTTTTGAGTTTCTTCTTCAATTAAATCAATATTTTCTAGACTAAAACACATATCATCATTGCTTTTTTCAAAGTATGATGAATTTGCATGAGAAGAATTTTCTTTTGAATCCTTTGAATCTGATTTCTCCGATGAAGATTCTGCAACAGTAGCAATTCTTTTTGAAATAGCTCGCAGTTCTTCAAGAGTTTTACATTGACTTAACATAGCCAGTTATCTTGATTTTTCTGTCACGAAATTGGCACTTTTGTAAAGTTCCTTTTTGGATAATTTGGGGATGCATGCATTTCTCTGTTCTTGAATTTATGAATTTACTGTTTTTGGGTAGCAATTAGTTTCATGAAATTTTGACTAGCATTTAATTTTGAGTCTCCGAATAACCTTTTTAACATGGTATTCAGAGCATGGCTTTTGAACAATTTGATAGTTCCAACAAAATATCTATGAGACTTTAGATTATGAGCAAATTGAGACAAAAGATTTTCTTGAGGCTTTAAAAAGGTTTTAGCCTCTTTTTTGAAGTGTTCGAACCCATGAAAAGTAAGACTAGGTAAAATATTCTCTTCAAGTCCAAAATATTCGAACCATTTTTGAACCACTTTGAAAAATTTGGAGAACAATTTTGATAAAAAAGTGTAAACAAAGAGTGAGTAACTGGTCTAAAGTAAAATATATTAAACAGGACGTCTTGATAATCAAAATAATTGAAAAGAGATTCGAATGAATCATTTATTTAGAGACGCATTCTCTTCTCTTTCCATGGGTCATGTGCCACTCTTCAAATGACAATACCCTTTGAATTGAAATTTTTGGAAAATCAATATGATTTTTCTTTTGCTGATTTTGAGTATAAGTTATTGCAGCCAATCCAGATTTAATTAAGATGGCTTCTTAACAAGTTCTGAATTTTTTGATATTTTTTGGCATAAATTGAAAATTTATAGTGGAAATGTTTTGAAGACATTCGTCAAGAGATGAATACTTATGAATCCAAAATGTTTCCATCTCGAAAACAAGAATATGAACATGTTTTGTAAAATATTAAAAAGATGAAGGAGGTCTCTGAGGCTAAAGTAGATTTTAGAGAAGTAGAAGAGCTATGCTCAACATATTTTGAGCCTTTAAATGGATTTTAGTTACAATAATCTATTGAACAAATAGGAATTGAAATCTTGTTTTTTTATCATTCTTCTTTGAGAAAGAGGATATATATATATATTTTTTAATATTTCACTCAATTTGAATATCTCTTTAATTTTTCTCACAATTTCCTATCTTTTATAAAAACTCTCTTGTGATGAAATCTGGAAAAAAGTTTGAAGATCTTTGTATATAGAGAATTTCAAAATCAAAACATGAAAGTACTGCTTGTCATGCCAAAGATTTGTTTGGAAACAAGATTTTTTATATCCTTTTGTAAGACATCTTTGGATGCTTTACAATCTATTTTTAAAATAAACTTTCTGTTTATTAACTCATTTTGAAATTTCGAAATAGATAAAACAATTGAAAAAATTTCTTTTTTGATAGTTGAATAGTTCTTTTTGAGGACCAGTCTAAGCACCCGAATGAAATCGGATCAACTGTTCTTGATTACACACTTTTGGGTTCTGTTAGAGGACACCACCAAAACCAATGTTTGACGCATCAGTTTCAACAATAATTGATGCAATGGGGTGTAAAATTAATAAACATGGAATGCTTTTGATAGCTTGTTTGACATTTTGAACAGTCATTGTATACTCGTGATTCCATGGGACAACTTTTGAAAAGCGGTGCACATATTGTTATCTCTTTGATAAAGTCTCCTACATAATTAACACAACCTAAAAATCTTTGAAAACTGTTTGTGTCTAAAATTTCATTAGAAAATTTGTCCATGAAATCTAAACTTATTTAAATTGGTGTAACGGTTCCTAGATGAATGATATGTCCCAAGAACATAATACTTGTTTGACATAAAACAACATTTTTAGCAGAAACTGCTAAACCATTGTTTTTGAGGACATGAATAAATGTATTGAGATATTTGAAATATTGTTCTAAACTTTCAGAAAATATTAGAGCATCATCGATATAAACAATAATAACATTTGAATAAAGATTGAAAACGTCATTCATTATTTTATAAAATTCTAAAGGAGCATTTTTTAGATTGAATGACATAACATTCCATTCATATTGTCCAAAATGGGACATTGAATGCAGTTTTGTGACAATCTTCTTTTTTAATTTGAATCTGCCAAAAACCTGACTTCATATCAAATTTGAGAAAGATTACAGCTTTGAATAACCTATTTAATAGGTCCTTCTTTTGAGGTAATGTATATCTAATCCATTGAAAATCTTTATTGAGAGGTTTATAATTGATAACTAGATGAGGGACTCCTTGTTCAATTTCAGCTGAATTGTTGACGTAAAATGTCGAACAACTCCATGGTCATTCCCTAATTCAATTTTGATTTGTACCAGAATCAATTAAGACTCAAGTATGAAGTTTGAAATCTTTATAGACAATAATATCCATTTGACAATACTATTTCTGAAGTTGAATACGGCTAATAACATTAACCTTTTCTTCTTCAATTTGAGAAGTTTTTTAGGATTGAGAAGCAACTTCTTGTTTAGAAGAATCAGAATCATAGACGATTTGATTCTCTAGTTTAGTTTTCAAGAGAATTACTTCCATTCTAATATCTTTCATTTGATTTTGAAGAATTGAAATTTGAGATTTCATCTCGTTGATCTCTAATCTTAAATTAGAACGCGATGACTTGGAGAATTTTGAAGATTTAGATTTAAATCTACTCATAATATTTTTAATACTATGAGAGTCATCAAATTCATCAAGTTTTGGAGGAATTAGAGATTTGAACTTTTTCTTTAGTTGAGGATTTTCAATTTTCTCAACTATCTCTTGAATAAGTTCTTCTTCTTCAGTAAGAACATTTATGGTTTTACAACCACAAAATTTTTTAGATTGATTTGAAGAGGATGAGGTGGAACCAGAACTAATCTCAACATCAGAATCCTCTTGATGTTGATAGACCATTTCTAATTCAGAATCAGAAGAAGTTTCTTCTTTCGAAGAGTTGATAAAATTGAGGAGCTCAAGCTTAATATCTTCATCTATTTGATGATTATTAATCTTGCTCTTCATAGGACAGTTATTGGAATAAAATCCCATCTACTTGCATTTCCAGCAAGTGACATTAAAATTTTTTGAAAACCTTTTCTTTAAAAATCATTTTTTAGAAAAGTTTTTTTTAATAAAAAGGCTTTTGAAAATTGTTTTCTTTTTGAATTTTTTTGTTTCTTTTGTAAGAAGGAAAACTTTTTCTTTTCAATTTTGAAGAAGGAGGAATTATTCTCTCAAGGTCATATTGTTCATAGAATGATCCAAGTTCTTTGTGACTTTCAAATCTTTCTGATTTTAATTTGGCTTTGAGCTTCTGATCATTGCAAAGTACAAGACCATCTTTATTGACAAACTAAATAATTTCTCCATATGAAAGTTCATCATATGAAATATTTTCTTGATATTAGCTTCATATTGAATTTCTAGCTCATTTTGCAAAGAGATTTGAAAGTCCAGATATAAATCTTTATTTCCAATAAAATTTATTACAATCTTTGCGGAATAAGACATGCTAAAAACATGTCTTCATACCATCGAGAATCATGGAGTTTTGAACATCGAAGATTCATTAGGATTTCAGACTGTCGATTCATTATATCAACAGGTACTCTGATAAAATGTTTTGATGATACTATAGATAAGAACATTAAAACTGTCATTTTCTCTTGTTTTATTATTTTGAGAGTTCATCATCTCTAGTTTTTCTTCTAAACTGAGATAATTGCTCCACTAGTTTTTGAGTTGGCTTGTAAATCCTATAACCAAATTTAAAGTTGAAGTTTTGGGATCAACATTTTCTGATTTATATAACTTCAAGCACATATACATGACTTCTAAGAGTCGAACAATTTGATACTCTGTTAAACCATCAATATTCTATTCAGTAACAGAGTCACCAATAAAAGATAATTGAAATTTTACTTTTTCTTTGAAAAGCAAATCAGGAGCAGTATTTTGAGGATAATATGGAGGAACTTTTGAATATGAACCTTTTAATTTATTGATATGAAAATTCTCATTTTCATTTTCAACAATTGAGATTCAATTTCATCAATAAAATTGATATTATTTGAACGAAAAGAAAGACAATTCAAATAATTGAGTTACAAGTTCTTTTAAAACTTAAGTCTCACCGTCTAATTTTCCAAATTAAGGAATCATATTTGAAGGACGAGGTTTGAATAAAACATTGACATTATTTTTTCTTTATCGGTCAATT